TTCAAAAAAAGTAAAATTTTTTTAAAAATAATTTATTTTTTTAATTTTTTTTTAAATGGGCCCTTTTTTGCTTAAAAGAAAGCTCCTTGAAGGGCTTTATAGTCCCATAATGGGATATTTATAAAAAAAATATTTTTTAACTGAAAAATAATTTTTTTTCAATATTTGGCACTTAATTTTACCCTATTTCTTCAAACGTAATTTTTTGCTCAAAAGAAAGCTTAGACCATTGCCTTTAAGAGCTTTGTGATTACTTTGTAAAAAATATTTTAACTTTTTTTTGAGTTAAAATATTATTTTTTCACATATGCCCCTTGCATCCTACTAAGTGACCACAAAGCTCTTAAAGGAAATGGTCTAAGCTTTCTTTTGAGTAAAAAATACATCAAAAACGTCCATTTAAAAAAAAATAGGAGGAAATTAAGTGCACAATATTGAAAAAAAAAAAAAAATTATTCTTGAGTTAAAAAATATTGTTTTTGATAGATATCCCACTCGCATCCCATTATGGGACTATAAAGATCTTCAAGGAAATTATATAAGCTTTCTTATAAGCAAAAAAGGACCCATTTTGAAAAAAAAATATTTTTTAATTTAATAATAATTTTTGCTTGGACCAATAGGTGAAAAGTTACACTCAATTGTTTTTTTATTTCTATATTATTTTTTATACATAAAGGAGAATAGTCTGTACATTTTCTGAAGTAAAATATAAAATGGCTTAAGAATTATATCCGATAAATCTGCACATAATCTGAAAAGAATTGTTTTTGTAACTTCGTCAAACAATTAAGCGAATAATATAAATTTCCTTTAGATATTTAACAGAATAGTCTGCACATTTTTCTGATATTTTTTGCTCGGTCATTTTGTTCCCATTATCAGTGCTTTTGTAAGAAAACTTTGCGACCACTCTGCAAATTATGTGAAGGAAATTTTGTTTTTTTTTATAAAAAACATGCACAACCCTGTTTATTATTTGAAATTCGTCAACTGTACTTTAAAAAAAATTTAATTTTTATTTTCTCAGTTGGTCTTTGGAAATCAAGTAAACAACATCTTCATATGTGATGATTATTGTTTAAATTTCTTTAAACTTTGTTAATACACAAAAATTAGGAAAAAAAATTACATAATTTTTTATGGTTTAATTTTATAATCTTAAATAGGTGTGTATAATGAACTCTATAATGAATAATGGAAGCTTATAAATTATTATTAAAATTAAACCACAATAAATTATATACAATGTCTCTCATAAGTATTCGAATTTAATGTATTATGAAAACAGACATCATTTTATAATAGATTTTGTGGGAAAAATAAATAAATTTGTTATGTTGTCCAGACAGTTCTTAAATTTTATATCACACTTTAAAAATTAAAAACAAGTAAGAAAGTATAGTCGGGCGTGGCCGACCATATGATACCCTACACCAGTTATGAATATTAAATGTGATTTATTTTTCATAATAAAGCATTTATCTTCAATATTCCCTTGTTCCGATACATTTAAGCAATTTATGGATGAAAAACTAATATTCTGAAAGAGGCTTTATATGGGGGCTAGGGGCAAATATGGACCAAGCCCGATAAAATTTTGTGAATATATTTATATTTACATAATATTTTATTGTGCTGAATTTCATCGCGATATTTGTTATTTATAAGTTAATTTGGGACATTCAAGTAATTTTCTGAAGGGGACTTTGTATGGGAGCTAGGGTCAAAGGGGGCCCGATCTTTATGAAATTTGGCAGGGTCATCAAGACTTCTTTAAAATTTAGTTGTGCCGTATTTTATCGATATATCTGTATATTTAATATAATTATGAGCTCAGAAGCCCTTTTCGGGGGGTTCTGTTCTATGGGGGCTAGGTGAAATAATGGACCGATTTTAACCATTTTCAATAGGCTTCGTCCTTGGGTCAAATAAAACGTGCGTGCCAAATTTATCCAATTATCTTCAAAATTCCGACCTGTACCTTGCGCACAAGGTTTACATGGACAGCCAGCCAGCCAGACGGACGGACGGACATACCTTAATCGACTCAGCAAACGATTCTAAGCCGATTGGTATACTTTAGGGTGGGTCTAGGACGAATATTTTTGTATGTTACAAACATCAGCACAAATCCAATATACCCTCCCCACTAAAGTGGTGTAGGGTATAAAAAATAATTTACTTAAACTAATTTAACTTTAAAAAAAAAAAAAAAAAAAAAAATAGCTTCACAAAAGTATTCGAATTTTTTGTATAAATCATATTTAGATTAGCATTATGAAGTAAAAATAAATAATTAAAATTAAATTAATGTTTTGTATAGTAGCCTTTGTTTTTAAAAACAACTTCTAAGCGTCGTGGGACCGTTTCTACCAATTTATGGAATAGTTCTGGCGTTATTATGTCCCATTCTTCATGCAAAGCAACCGTATGGTGGTTTTGGAGGATAATGAGTGATTTAAAAGTTGTTCTTGTAAATATAACCACAAATTTTCAATGGAGTTTAAGTCCAGACATTAACTCCATTGAAAATTTGATGAAAGAAGATACTTAGTGTTGTAAATGATCAACATTTTTACGTACCAGGTCGTGTATTTTGGGTCGTTTTTCTGTTGAAAAATAAATTGAATGGGTTGTAGCCCCATTTTGGTGGTACTAGCATGCAAATTCTGCTCTAAAATTGACAAGTGGACCTTCTAGTCTATAATTACAATAATAAATTTAAGCAGTCCAACACCGTGGACGGACACAGAACCCCAAAATATGGCAGAGCAACTTGGGTACTTTACAGTTGGTTTTAAGTTAGATAATTCCAAGGCATCTCCAAGCTTTTGCCATATCATTTGACGATCATCTGAGCCAAAAATATTATATTTGTTCTAATCGTCGAAGATAACCTCCTTCCAGAATCCAATATTCTTACTTATGGGTCTATTTGCAGAGTCAAGACACTTAACATCGATTAACTTCGATATGAGCGGCTTCCACCTTGGTACTTGATCATGCAAATTATTGCTCCCGAGTACTTTGCGCACAATTTCGACACTAATTTTTATTCACAGTCCTGAGTTCGTTGTTAATTTTTGGAACTGGTAGATGAAGGTTCCTTCGGTATTTCATCAGTATTTCTCTGTCGTCCTGTATTGACAGCAGTTTTGGACGACTTGATAATGGTAAATACTCGATGGAATTCTTTGTTCCATGACAAAATATATTGTCGATGGGAATCTATCAAACATTTCCTACATGTATTTAATTGATCGGCCTTGATTATACAGATATAAATTAATTTATTAATTTGAATTGATCAACTCTTTTTCTTTGAACAGTTTAAGCGCTTACACAGGAAGTATTTACAACATAATTATGCAAATTTCCAAAAAATATAATGTTAAATATTCCATATAACCACTACCTGCATAATGGGTTAATGAATGGGCAAAAAAACACGTGTTTAAGGATTCTAAAAAAGTTCTTAGAAAAAATTCGAATATTTTTGCGCAGTACCTGAAACGACCCTTTTTGGTTTTTTTTTCCATTTTCTTGAAACCATTAATGAGTTGTTATTACTTTTTTTCTTGTATTTCGTAAAAATAATATAAATTAATAAAATTTCATTAACAATTTTTAAATACTAATTTTTTTTAAAGTAGCATGATAAAATAACACAGTAATTCATAAAAAATAATAAATTCGAATATTTATGTGAGACACTGTATATGAAAATAGTTTTCATCAGACGTTGATCAGAATAGCCAGGCCATTTTCTTATACTTGGTCAGACTTTTGTACGGACTGTCGGACATTTTATCAGACATTTATCCGACATCTACAAGACTTTCTTATATTTGATCAGACTTTCATACGAAATGTCGAAAGAATGTCAGACATGGTATCAGACATTTGTCCGATTTCAATCATATTTGTCGAAAATTCATTTCCCAGGAATTTACATCAAATTTCGTACCGAATACTGACCGATAACTCTGCACCTTTTTCCAAATTTCGTCAGACAAAGAGTTCTGAATTCCGAGCAACCTTTCATACGATTTTCGTAACGCTTGTCGGTACGAATTCGGCAAAAATTGTTTAGTGGGTTGATACGAAATTCCCCATATGTATATGTTTGTTCGTTTCATTGTTTTGTGTATTTTGTATTTTTTTTGTTTATCGTTCTTGCTGTTGTTGTTTGTTTTGCTATCGCTAATGTAATGTAGAGTTGGGAAAAATTAAATAAATTGAAATTTTATAAAATTAATTTTTTTTCAAACACACTATGGTGAAGGGTTTATAAGATTCGTCAAAGGCGAAACGTTTGTGCTTGTTTTATGTTTATAAACTAAAATCAATCCTCTGGCAAAAATGAAAAAGTACATACATACATATGTATCTCAAAATCTGCAAAGATCATGTTTTAGCATTTTTGAAATCTTCGTACTTAACTCTAAATTGATACAATAATTTTTCATAAATATCGGATCAAAACTTTTGAAGATATAGAAATTTTTAAATGTATTTTACTATAAATTTGTACTGTATTTTACAGTGTTCTCCTGAAAAGTACAAGAAATTATTCTGATATTTTTTAGTAATTTTGCAATGACAGAGAATATGGGTTTAAAAAGATTTCCGTGCAAAAAAATCCCTTTCCTTTTTTCCACAGTAGTGGATCCATCCAAAGTGATTAGTAAAACTTTTCAATTTATTAAATTGTAATGTTATAGCGGATAAATCTATGAATTCCTAAATCTCATTGTTTAAATTTTTAAATATCCAAAATGAAAATACATATTATATGGAGCTTTCGATGCAGTCTTGACGTCCGTGCTTTTAGCTGTGTTTATTGTTTTTTAAAATCGCTGTTATAAGTAGGCGATGGCAACACAGGAAAAATCGCTAGAAATATCTTTTTCCCACGAAATTGGTTGTAAAATCGTTAAGATTGACGAGTAAATGGTCGAATTGTCATCACTACAAAAGATTGAATGCGAAACAGAGAACTTCGCCGGTTCCGTTGATAGATTATTAAGTCTAGCTGCCAATGGATATTAAAATTGACGTTAACGAAAATCTTTTTTAACAAGTCGGATTGAAAATAATCGCAAGTTTTATAAAACTTTCTTGAACATTTTTTCGAAATTCTACAATCAAAAATATTTTTTTTAATTTGTGCAAATTTTTTAGCTATTTATTTCTGATATTATGTCGCCGCTGTCGTTTATAAAGTGAACAGTCGGCGTTGTAAAATTTCGTCTGCACAGATCTCTATTACGAATCGCTCGTGTTTTCTTCATACATTTCCTGGTGTTAAAACTTCGAAGAACATATTTTTCTTAAATGAAAATTTTGGAAAAAAGTGGAATGTAAATCAATGATATTGCTTTCAGTTTCAACTAATTAATTAATATCGTAAAGATGGCATCAATGCAGTTTGTTTTACAACCACTACCAGGAACGGATGAGCAATTTATTGACAGGTGAGAATAAAAATATGGACATATTTCCATGTTTATATTTTAGTGGACACATCCACCAAAGTCGTGGAAAATATGAAAATCTCTATTCTGTAAATATATTCATATATTTTATATAATTAGTAAAACTAATAAATTAATCTATGTAAACTATATTATATGAATACATAAATGCTGTATATACATACATATGTATGTATGTACATACATACGTCTGAAAATCGTTAGTTTATTCTGGTAGAAGAGGAATTTGCATATCATATTTGTTTGTGTAAATGATTATTTTCTTCACATTCTGCTATAGTCTGTATAGTCTTTACTCTTCAATAGGTAATGCGTTTATTGCATTTAAATTATAGAAAAATTAAAATTTTGTTTGCAAATATTCAAGCAGTTAGTAATTCTTTTTGTACATAATAGAACATTATGTTTTCGTTTTTACTTTTCCGTGCAACGTTTTGATGAATCAATAGAATATTGCTGCATTTTTGTTTGCTATCGAATTTTGCAGAATGTTCTTAAATGTACCATTTTAATTCGAATTATTTTCGCCATTTTAATAAAAATATTTTAATTAAATTTATTTATGTGCAGGATTTTTAAAGTTTATCTATAACAAAGACAAAATGTCCACAATTTGGTACATATTTGGAGTATTTAAAAAAAATTTAAGATATATGAAAATATTCTGCATAATAGACATACATTTTTATTTATTTCCAGTGCAATTGTCTGCACGACTATCCCAAATATTGCTATAAACATAAAAGAACCGCATGATTAATATACTTTTCGCTAAGTATTTTATTTGTTATAAATATTGATCTCTGAACAAGCTTCTATTTCAACAATTCATTAGAGCCGAATAGAGATTTTCTAAACTAATTTCCTTCCAGTAATGACCATTTAAAAAAAAGACATGGACAATTCATTCGAATTTAACCGCCGAAAACATGTAAAGTGAATAAAATTTGTAATAACATTTTTTCAAATAAACTTTTATTATAAACTTTTTAGTTTTCAAAATACATAATAGCAAAATTTATCAATACTTTAAAATTTAAATTTAATCACTATCGCACTATCATTTAGTTTCAGACATAATTCCTCTTACCATGTTATAAAACACAAGATTTATTAAAATGTTTTCAAATTACTAGGACATGACTTTTCCCAACAAAATTTTTTGGAACATTTAAAATTCATAAAGATATTATAACTACACTAGCCTTAAGCCTGTCTCTGCCAGGCAAGAAAAATAAAAAATGTATTTACAAAATCAAAGGGTAATAAATGAAAATAGAATACAAATAATCTCAATAATTATTAACGAAATAGAACAGACATTTATAAGTTCAAATTTTGTTTAATATATTTTGTTTTAATAGCCCAACAAAATTAGTCGAAAAAAATTAGCAAACTGGGGAAATTTATATAGATAACTTTATGAAACAAAGAGGACTTCGTCTTGGGGTCTCAATTAAGGAGCGAAAAGTCACCATTAATCTCATGTATGCTAAGCGAGGTATTAGGGGTCAAAAGTTACAAAAACCATTTATTTTGCTTATTGTGATTTCCACGATTTCAATACTACATTTCTGTTGACAATTAAATTTTCCGTATTTTAGTTAAAGACTATCTTTGCATAGGTATAATTAGTTATTTTCAACCTATAGTACATTATTTTTCCATTTCACTAAAATTTTCAAATCTTAATATAGATCGCATTAATAACAATTTTTTCATAATTTTTGCGTTATTTATAAACTGTTAATATATGCTTATACGCTGTTATATGTTTTATTTCAGAATCACTCTATAGTCATAGTGCAATGTCTGTCTATCCATAACATCAGATATTGTCACAGGTCATAAATATGAATAAAACTTGAAAAAATTGGTGGTCACAATCTACATATCGTCAACTAAATCATAAACGGCCCTATCTAACATTTTTAAAATTTTATCAACGCGCTTTATTTGTAGTAAATAAACAAATTGTTTAATAGTAAAACCTACCAGTTGTTACGATAGTCGACAGAGGCGTATATAAAATGGATAAATTGGACTTTTTACCTTTAATATTTAAATGTTTTATTTTTTGTCAATAAAATAGCTAATTATGTTTTGATGCAATACATTAGAATCAACACATGGTATACATGGTTTAATATTGAAAACAAAATAAGCCGCTGTCTATATTAGCGCTTTAGAAGCCTATTTCTGATTTCAAAGAAATAGTTCCCTAACTTTATAGGTTATGTCCACAATATTTTTTTCAAATTATATTCATATTTATGACCTATGCATTATGGGCCAGAGTAATGCACAATTATTTTATAATTTATCAACAGTATTAATTGTGTAACTGAGTGCCATTGTTGTCTCGTCCCTAATAAAGAGTTTCGCCTTTTTGATCAGATTCGCATCAATTGAATTTGCCCGCATAATCAAGCTAGAGACTAATAAGTATAGCCTTCTTTCACTTCCCAGGTCCCTTTTTTTTACATTTACCTCTCCGCCCTAACAGCGGATATCAAAAATCCAGTTCAGTGTTCATCTTCTCCTTGACAGCATGCATGTCAATTTTCATATTTCTAGGTCATTGAAAGCCTTCTAAATTATTTAAAATGTAAAAAACAAATTTTCCACGCCTATTTTTCCTGTTAATTCTCCGTCCATAGTGCAAAAATTTTAATTCTAAATGTTTTAAGGTAAGCTCCAACGTCAATTGGCCATAATTGCCAATGATTGACAATTATTAACTTCATTGGTTTTTAGAGGACATCAAAATTAGCTGAAAGGTAAAAAAACAGGCGTTGCTCCATTCTTAAGACTATATGCAAGGCAATTTTTAGCTTCATATGTCTTTACGGGCCTTTAATATAAGCTGAAATGTTAAAAATAGAAAAAAATAGGACTTCAAAAAGCTCTGTATAGACAAAAACGTGTTTAAAAAAAGGTATTTTTAAATAATTTTTTTAAAATTTTAGTTTTGTTTTTAAAAAATATATTCAATCTGGGATATCGTTTGAAAGTGGTTATAAAGCCGCATCCAATGATGTATTAATCATAAATAGCCGTCTGCTCATAATTTCCATATTCCAAAATATTTAAATTTTTAGGTTATTCATTAATAGAAATAAAATTTGTGTACACTTTTGCACACCACTCGACGCGGCTTCAAAAAACCTTTCAAATGATACCACAAATTGTATATTTTGCTTAAGAAAAAACTGTAAAATTTAAAAAAAATAACTAAAAAGGGACTTATTTGTAATCGGTCCAGCTCACGAACGGCCATCGATAGACTAAAAATATTTTAGGAACCATCGTAAAACAAAGCAAAGATTTTTTGAAACTGGGTAAAATTTTGAATTGAACATGAAAAATTGTGTCCCTCATAGGATATTTTCTTGAAAACTGTCCAGCTCACAAACGGACAACACTAAACCCAAAATATTATGGGTAACATCATATTACATAACAGCGAATATTTTGAGGGGGGTAACTCAATCAGCATTTTTTGTGAGTCGGTCTAATGTATATAGATGAAAGAATTTTGTAAATTTTTATCTTTTACAATTTGGTCTCGTTTATGCCAGTACAATTCTTTGAATTTTAAGTGCATATAGATCTTTAAAATAAAAAAATAAAGGCCAAACATAGGACCGGTAAGTCGAGCTGCCTTATTTTCGTAGAAATACTAGTCTCTATCTGTTACAAATTTGATGACAATCTGGAAACTACACATACAAATTTTCAGGAACTACCAAAATAAATATGATTTTTTTGTTTCCACAATAAAAAAATTTGGAGTCGTCAGATAGAAAATGAGTGTTGCGGCCCTGTGTTCCGCTAAGAATTAAAGGACTAAATATAAAAATATATAACAAATTGAGGAGTAATATAAAAATTCCGTCTTTGATAACAAACGTATGTGCATATGTATGTATATACCCAAAGGACAAAAAAGTTTTAACATTGCCCAGCAGTCCGACAAGAACTCAATACATAATTTTCACCATTGTATAAACACCTGTTTGACTCTCACTTATTTATACATATGTATTGGGTTATTAGTCCCGAATGCATTCGTTATAATGCAGAGTGAATCCAGTCGTTACTTAAACATTACAAGTTATTTCAAGGCAGTCGTCACTTTACTTCTCTTAAGCAGTCTAGAGATGGGGACATTTGCAACTTTTTAATAAAACTCTTAGGAAATTGTCCATTTGTAATCAACAAATGTTGTTAATGTCTCCAAGGAGTCAATTGACTTCCTCCTTGGATAAGCCTATGTTAAAATAACTGATCACCTAACCAATTCTGTAGTTAGTGGAAACTCGAAAGCAGATGTGATTGATAGTTCCCGACTAACACCTCTAAATGTGGGGTCTAAAAAACCTACGAATACATAACTAAATAATCAGTAAAAAGAACAGATTCATCATCATTCCTTCACGTTCGAAGAAATTATTGTTTGGTTGTGTCAACCTTTTACAAGTAATTTAACAAAAATATGCAGATGTAAGCCTTAATAATGCTATCAATTCTTGTAATGATTGACCCTAGCCCCAATACAAAATCCCGTCGGAAAACGAATTGACCACCCATAATTCACTTGTTACCAATATGTCTTTTAAATAAACAAAATTCCTGTCAAGAAATTTTGTGAGTATCAGTTCACCTTAGCCCCCATATAAAAACCTTTTTAGAAAATAATTTCATCGATAAATTACTTGAATCTATCGGAATTTAGTAAAATTGATAAATTGAGGGAATAATGGACTGTGATTATCCCATAATTATACTTAATAATGCTATGCTAAATGGAAATAATACTTTTTAAAGAGATTCCATACTTTTGTGAACTCAAAAGTGTATTTTTTAGCATGACTCCATATTTCTCGCTCCGAAAAGAATATTATCTTTTCTAAAATATTCATTTTATACAGTTTAACAACTGCGAGTCGAATTAGGAGGCTTCAGCTGGTAATCAA